TAACTTTGCTGCCTCGGTCGCCGCGGTCCCCGGGGATCGGGCTCCGGCGCTCGCTCCCATTGGCCGCCGCTGCGTCAGCTGGTGCGATTTGCTGCTGTCGCTTTTGGCGTTCGGCCATCCAGAAACAAACCAGTTCGATGACTACTAATAGTTATAGCCAGATGTACTAATACACAACAAATCACAGTCCTGCAGAGGGGCGCGCAAATGAGTTCCTATTTTGTGAATCCCACTTTCCCCGGGAGCCTGCCCAGCGGCCAGGACTCCTTCTTGGGCCAGCTGCCCCTCTACCCGGCTGGCTATGACGCGCTGAGGCCCTTCCCGGCCTCGTATGGGGCGTCGAGCCTTCCGGACAAGACGTACACCTCACCTTGTTTCTACCAACAGTCCAACTCGGTCCTGGCCTGCAACCGGGCGTCCTACGAGTACGGGGCCTCATGTTTCTATTCTGATAAGGACCTCAGTGGCGCCTCGCCCTCGGGCAGTGGCAAGCAGAGGGGCCCCGGGGATTATCTGCACTTTTCTCCCGAGCAGCAGTACAAACCCGACAGCAGCACCGTACAGGGCAAAGCCCTCCATGATGAAGGCACCGACCGGAAGTACACGAGCCCTGTTTACCCTTGGATGCAGCGGATGAACTCCTGCGCGGGTAAGGCATTTCCCTGCACCCCCACCCAAGTCAGTGGAGGGAGTGGGGGAAGGAGGCAGGGAAAGAAGGAAGGAAGAAGACAGTGAATGTGGAAAGAGAAATAGAGAGAATGAAAGGAGGAAAGAATGAACAAAGTTTCTTTGGCTTTTAAAAGTCGATTTTAAAAGAAGAAAACCCATTCCCAATGTATTGGAACATCAGGCCAAGGCAGAGGAAAAGCAGGGTGATAAGGCCCATGTAAGGTGACACTTTAGGGAGGGTGGAGGAATCCCTGCCAAACTGGGAGAACTGTGACAGGGCAACCTGGAGAGATAGGGAGGCAGGCTGGAGGGGAGCCCGCCCAGGCTGCACCCTGTAACACTCTGCTCAGGTTCCCAGGTAGAGAGGGCCTCCAGCACCTTCCAACTCCTCTCTTTTCTGCCCTTCAGAACCCTGAATGGATAGAAGGATCCTCTTGGCCTCTGGTAGCATTTCTTTCCAAAGCCTTGTAGGGCCCCATCCCCAGCTTCAGGACTCTTTCTCTCCTCCCTCCCCTCCCCCTTTTCTCTCAACTGTTCTCTCTTAGCCAACTTCTGCCTCCTTCTGAGCCCCTGCCCGAGCCTCACACTTGAGATTCTCCCACCCTTGGGCTGCTTTGGCACCAGAATAGACAGTCCAGCACAGATCTACACTGCAAGAAAATCCAGACTGCCTATAGGTCCATCTCCATGCGCTGTTTCCAAAGACCCCACGGGGAATCCTCCCTTCCCCTTGGAGCAGGACAGCCTAATATGGATTTTAGAAACTTAATGTTTTGCTTTAAAATCCATCACCCCAGGGACCTCTGTGTTTTCCAAGTGGGTCATAGAATTTGGGAGAATGTACAAATATTTGAGAAAGCTAACCATATTTAACTTTCTAAAAAATGTGCCGTGTCCTGACATAGGTGACCTCAGTAGCATCCCCACAGAAGCCATTGAATTCATAATGTCTACACTGCTAATAGGAATCCAGTCTCACCTACCCCAGATGCACACATACTACACTACACGAAAATGATTCTGTTGTCCCAAATTACAAATGCCCATTCTATTATTTCATTTGCTATGGCCTCACAAGTCAGACTTTTCAAAAACAGTACCTTCCCATCCTAAGTCGTTTTAGGTGGAAAATACCTTGCTTGTTAAGAAATAGTCTTCACCATTCAGCCTGCTTGCCACCCCAGAGGTAGTGGGAGAGGCAGGGATGGAGGCAGAGTGGTTTCTAGCCCAGAGGCCCCTGGAGGGAGGCAAGGGACTCACTGGTTCAGCTCTAGCTACCCTCGTTTACCCACACCCGGCCATTTCTGCCTGCAGGTGCTGTGTACGGGAGCCACGGGCGCCGAGGCCGCCAGACCTACACACGCTACCAGACCCTGGAGCTGGAGAAGGAGTTCCACTTTAACCGCTACCTGACACGGCGCCGCCGCATCGAGATTGCCAATGCGCTCTGCCTCACCGAGCGCCAGATCAAGATCTGGTTCCAGAACCGCCGCATGAAGTGGAAAAAGGAAAATAAGCTCATCAATTCCACACAGCCCAGCGGGGAAGACTCTGAGGCAAAAGCGGGCGAGTAGATGTCTGGGCAGGGACCAGGCCAGCGCTGCAACCTCCTTTGGCTTTGCCCCCTTGCCCTTGCCTGCTTCCCAACTTTTCTCCCCTTGTGCTGCTATGGGGGGCTTCTGCAGCTTCAGGGGAGCCCGAAGCTTTGAAAGCTCTCGAGTATTTATTACAAAAAAAAAAAAAACACCAACAACAACAACCCAAAGCCCCTCACACATAGCCAGTGCCAGCAGTGGAGCGGCGTGCACTGTACACACACAGGCCTGCTCCCCAAGATTCCCCAAGACAGGTCCGAGCTCCCAGAGTGTGCCCGAATTTCTCCCCAGCTCCTGTGTTATCTCCTTCACGCTCCTGGAGCTCGGAATGTGGAGTTGCTGGAGAAGAAAGAGCTCCAGGCAGTGCCCAGTTTGGTGTCTGGGCATCTCTGCCGCGGTCCGGGCGGTAAGCCCTGAAGGGCATCATTAAATCAGCTCCAGGCACTGGAAAGAGAGGAGGGCCTAAGGGCTGGGGCCCCAGCCCTGCCTTGGCCTTTCGGGCCGCCCCCAAACAGGAAGAAGCTTGAGGAACAAAAGGGCCCTGACTCAGCCTGGTCTCTCCCGGCCTGCTCACAACCAACGGTGGAAAAGAAGCAGCCAGCCGAGCAGAGCAAGCCTGGGCGCGGGTGGAATGTTACAGCCTGAGGAGCGACTGGGCTCCCGCAAGTTCCTGACTCCGGATCCGGGATCCCTGCCTCTGACAGCGCCGGTGCCGCCAAGAAGCAGTTTTCAGCACCCAAGGAGGGGGTTCAGGGCCATGGTTGCCACCAGAGTGCTGGCTTCCAAACGTGCCAGGGGCGCCTGCGACGCGGGGCCTCCAGCGGGAAGATTCTGCTTGCCTCCCAGCTATATTTGTGATTTACTTTCGCCTTTTGTAGCCCAGGAAAATAACTACGGAGATACTAGGCACTGCCATGAAATGCTTCCATTATCTCCCTCAATTTACTCCCGGAGGCCTAAGCAAGACCCCAATAACTCGGTCCAAGGATTCCCAGCTTCCAAGCAGGTTTTGTGGCCTCAGGAAGCCCAGGCCCACTCGCTGGGTTCACAGAGAACCCTCCGATTCGGAGCCCGGCTGGCTACAGGAATGGGACTTGGCGGTGAAGATTCTGCAAGCCAGATAAGTAAGCAAATCAAATAGCAAACTAACACAAAACCATATTTACAAGAAAGAAAAATCTACTCCAGTTACAAAAGTGTGTGGAATCTGACCTCGCCTCAGAGAAACACTACACAAAAGCTATCTTTAATAGACGCCTGTCATTTAAGAGCGGCAGGGACACTGTCCCTATTGCACTCGCAAAGACAGAGCCGTAATTGTAGCTGGTGCTGCGGGCAGGATTTATTTCTCCAATTTGGCTAAATCGCCTCCTCCCCTTCCCCGAAGGTGTTATCTGTATTTTCAAAATCCAGAGCTGCAGGGAGGACGACAGAACCGACCCCAACCTCGACACAAAAATAAGAGGGGCTGCAAAGCGGGCAAATAAAGTTGTAAATACATTCCAAGTCACCACCTCCCCCTAATTCTCTGCATCCTCGCCGGGCGCGCGATCGGCAGCTGACGGCCTCACAATTGGTACATCCTAATGGAACTGCGAGGGAAATGCAATAATTTTGCC